AATCTCCCAGAAAAAGTTGTAAATATAACACAAGAGTGATGGAAAAGGTTGTGAAATACTGAGATGATACGTGAGGTATTATTCATAGACAAGATAAGCATCCTGAAACTGTGCCTGGTCTATATGAGCTTAGGTTGATTAAGATAGAATGTGTCATGATAAATGACTCTGTTGCCATGAGAAACTGAAAAACATGTTGACAGCTAAAACGGAAAACTGGCGTCAGATTTCATTTCAATTTCAATGACTCATTGCAAAAATAATGAGAGTTTTGATTGGAAATTGTCTAGTCAAAACATTGCAATACCTTGGTGGCTAATTTTGCCTGAAACATAAAACTCTAAATACCGTATTAGCCGTGATTGGCACCTGGGCGCTTAAAATAAGTCAAATTAGTTCAAAAAGTTGTCCTTTTTTTGGATTGCATATCGATCCGACTATTTTCAACACATGCCGAAACGAGATGGCTAGATAACACGAAAAATCACTGGTAGACGTCAAAAGAATGGATATGGACTTGAATTACCAACGTTATATACATCTTATGGTGAAAAGAGTGACATATATCAGGCCCATAGCCAAGATTTGCCAAGGTGGTTCACTTTTTGAAACGTTCCAGGGGGTTCACAAAATTTGGTCCAAAAATGGCCAAAATCATGTATATTCAAGCTGGAATACCTTTTGAAATACTTCAAAATATACATATAATTATTTTTTAAATTACTTTTGAAAAATATCATTCATATTGTGCCTTCATATCAAATGCTTCTAATTTTCTGTTGAAAAATCATAACACACCATAAACAACAAGTAGCATACCGTACAGATTAAACTTTGCCAATCGATTATTAAGAATGATCTTTGGCTATGCTGAACAAGATAACAGCAATGCAGCAATGCTAAGGTGGAGTAAATCCCATGAGCATCCATGGCTGCCACTTTTGAAAATGGTTGCCTAGCCATATTGTCAATAGACAGTGAAATATGCTTTGAAGTATTTATATCGAATTATTCACATAATAAAAATGACTGCCATTTTGAAAAATGGCCACTCACAGTCACAAGCCAACTTGTCATAACAAAGTGTAACATGCTTCTAATTATTCACATATAAAATGTCAACAAAATCGCTCCCACAGCAAAAAAAGTGAATCAAATCCCCGAATCCTTGAGGCAGGATTCAAGCAGGATTCATATGCGCATATGAATCCTGTATGAATCCTGCCTCCAGGATTTGTGCAGGATTCGCTGTTTAAGTAGTTTACAAATGAATCCTGTAGCCAGGATTCGTGCAGGATTCATATGGAAGGTAGTTTACAAATGAATCCAACCTTCAGGACTCGTGCAGGATTCATACGGAAGGTAGTTTACAAATGAATCCAACCTTCAGGATTCGTGCAGGATTCATACGGAAGGTAGTTTACAAATGAATCCAACCTTCGGGATTCGTGCAGGATTCATATGGAAGGTAGTTTACAAATGAATCCAACCTTCGGGATTCGTGCAGGATTCATATGGAAGGTAGTTTACAAATGAATCCAACCTTCGGGATTCGTGCAGGATTCATATTTTTCCAGTTACAACACAAAAGCATAAAATAACACAAAAAAAATTAATAAAAATGGTGACCATTTTTCAAAATGTCTGCTCACTGGCCAAATTGTTATAAGGTGTAATATAATTCTAAGTAGTCATATCTAAAAGTTCAAAAAATCACTCTTCTACTTTTCAAGTTTAAAAACGTAAAATATATTGCACATAAAAATGGCAGCCATTTTTCAAAATGGCCACTTACTAGCAAAATTGTCATAAGACATTGTACCATGCTTATGATCAAATATTGCAAATTGGCTTTTTGAGCAGAACTTGTACTCACATGGGGCATATATGTATAAAATAAACATAATATTAGACCACTTATGGTATTTGAGTATTTGAGAAGGACAGATAGATGTACGCATGTACGTACCAGAAGGAGCTGTTCTCTATATCCATCGAACTCCATTCAATGGGATAATTATTTGCATGACTTCATTGATGTAATATTTAAAATATTTGTGGATGCCTGGATTTTCTTGCCAAGATAAATAAGTTGTATTAATAAGAAGTATAGTATGCATCACTGAATTCTCCTTCAAATTAAAGGAATAGCTTAATGTTAAGATAAAAGATAAAAATAATATTTAGATTGTATCAATTCACAATTAATTTTGAATTCAGGTCTATGAAAGAGGATTTTACATGTAGGTACACATTTTCCTTTAATGTCATTTTTTTTATTTATCTGACAATGTCTTGTCTTGTAAATACTGTATATGATTTTGGGATAATTGAGATTCCCCATAGACCCCATGTTGTAAAATCACAAAAAGTGAAATATCTTTTCTTGTGTTGGGCAGATAATATTTTCTTTTACTGGACATATTATAATTTGTATAACTATCAGATACATAAAGGTAATATTAAAAGTGAACCACTAAAACTGATGCATATTCAAGTTTAAGGGAATTCTATAATACCCTGCCATGTTAATTCCCCCGAATCAGCCACCTGGTGGCGAAACTGGTAACTACCTACTCGCATCTGAGTAATTGCCCCACAGTGAGATGTAGTTCAAAATGAATCTGTCTTAACATTGCCTTGCATGTATTTGTACATTTACTATTTAATAAAAAGTCAAGATAAATGTCATTTGACAGTTGAAGAGTGAACAAATTGATTTCAAAATCTTAATAAAGATGATATATTCCTGTTGATGTCATTTACAGTGTGATTATCTATTATTTCCTTTATAGGAAACACAACATGATCGTGATTGATGAAACTGATAAAATAGATAACACTTGGTTTTTCATTATACATCACTGATGGCATGTACATTACATCAATTCACAGTCAATGTGATTTTAACAACATAGAAAATTAATAATATTCTAATCTACTGGTGAGAATGAGTCCTGGAATAACAAGCATGTGATTCTTCTGTTCACTGTCATGTCCTTCAGAACTTTATGATATCATTTTAAGACACTAACAAACTATTGTAAAACCTGTCTAATCTGAATGCTGCTGGGACTGGCCAAAAGGTACCAGATGTTCACATGTTAATAAGGCTTCTTTGACAAGAGAATCAATGGGAGGTTATATATATATATTATATTGGGACTGGGAGCAAGTGATCATATTGGGGTGTCCAGATAACTAAGGTGTTCAGTTTTTACTGTATACTCATTAAAACTGTGTCGTTACTGTAGAGGATGAAGTGTTTAAATGGTGTTTGGGTCTTGGCATTTGATTTCTGGCACTTTCACACCTATCCTTGGAACTCTAATAGTTATTATATTGAATATCATTGTATGAGACTATATTTTCAGTTTTAAGACATCAGCAGAAATAGAGAACCTTAAATCATTATCAACATTTTTAACAGTTTTAGGATATTTGGGATTTGTTTTCCTTATGATTGGTTCTACTCTTAGATGTTCCATTTTCTTAATCTGTTTTGTAACTTTTAGTCTTTTCCCTTTGGCATTTTGTGCATGCATATTCACTTCTACATGAATGTCTCATCACAATTGTAGTAAATCAGCATGATGAGACTTTGACCTTCATTTAAACCTGCACATCGCTCCAAAACGCAATATGTTGACATATGTTGTTTTTACATTTTTAAGCTCTAATATAAAGTTAATGTATATAAAAATTGTTTTTTTCTGCGTTATATCAAAGAACAATCATTTCGTTAAAAAAATAAAAAGGCGAATGCGGGATTCGAACCCGGGCCTCCCGCGTGCTAAGCGAGAATTGTACCGCTAGACTACGGTGTTATTCTGAATGTAGGAAGTAATTAAATGCTACTTACCTTGAATGCTATGATTCGGAAGTGACGTCACGTTCTTCATTTAGAAACCTTTTCAAAATCATATCGTCGGCGCTGATCGAAGCAATTCAATGAATAATCTTTGAAATGACACATTTATCGTAAGTATTTCTACACAAGATTTGCCCCATTTGTTCATCATTCTATAATCTTTCATTAAGCTCAAAATGATAAAGTTCACCCCCGAAACAACCCAAGATTGGGTTTTGGAGCGATGTGCAGGTTTAAATTAATTAACAAAACACATACAGTTTAAAATCATGATTTATAAGGGGAATACCAGCAGTTTCGTAATATTCTGAAGGAAGATCTTCTCATTTATAAGGTTTCATTTGTTCCAATCTCTTTTGATATAATGTAATACAATTTAGACTTAGTGGAAAATGACAATGAAAGAAGATTGTGATAAGGAGTCATGACGTGAACATACCATGTTAATAGTTGTGCACTTCATGAAATTATAAAGCTTGATTATAGACTGCAGACAATGAAAATGATTTCATGAGATCAAAACATAAAATATCCATAATTGTTGTATCAATGTCAAGCTTGCAGTTGGGTGACTGGTGAAAAGTGGGTACAACGTCATGAAAAATTAGTCCATACTCAAAGTGTCCTAAAATTCTTAAACTCATAACAAATTATGTGTATCTACAATAACAAGAAAGACCAAGTGTCCAACAACTTTTTTGATGGAACATATGTACAAAGCTTCAAATCAAAATAATTGGCCCATGTTTCACAATTGATATATCGATAAATAACAAATGTGATCCCTCTGGGCATGCCAAAGATGAATCAATAAATCAGTTAGTTTTTATGATATCATAAAGGAATTTGCTCTTAGGCTGTCTTGTTACTGAAGTAATAGCCACTAAGTGCTTAATTAATTGTTATTATATCCAGAATAAATAAACATATCAACATTTGACTTTATGACAAAGATTGGCTTGACTTTTTAATGATAGGATAAATAGTTTACTTCAAGGCCAACCAGCAATTAAATGAATAACCAGTGCTGGTTAATCACCATTACAACCATTATAGTTTTGTTATTATTCTCACACTCTGGAAGTGTCTTAATAAAGAGAATCCTCACCTGTCTGTGATTGGATCTACTCTATTCCCCTCCGAACTTGCTAATGGAGGCTGATTCCAATGCTGGATCCAAAACCTGGAACAAGTAGAAAGATAGCATAAAGGTGCCGTCTCATTTACTACTGTACATATCCATCCTTGTTCATTTATTTATTAAACCATTATCAAATCATTGGGTTTTAAGTTCAACAATCAATGCAATACAATAGCATATTTATACAATAACATTTTCACAATTGCTTCCCAGCATCACATAAAAATCTAAATAACACATTATCATCAGAGTGTTAATAATTCTAAGGAAATGTGGATTTATTTTTGAAACAAGAAACGGGGTAATAATAGTGCATCCTGAGAAGAATATCAATGTGTTTTGTAAACATTATTAAGTCGAGCTAAACAACATTGTGTGATTTTTTTCATATAGAACTAGAATTTACCATGCTTGGCTATCAAGATTTTGGGCTAGATAAAACTCCAAAATGGTCATCTTAAAATTTACCCAGTAAATCAAAAAACTGCACAGTTCTAGATTTTCTTACAGATATATAGTTATTATTCATAATTATTGTATCAATCATTTAGTTGGGTTACTGGTGAACAGTGGATACAATGTCATGAAAGATTAAGCAATATTCAATGAAAATGCTTATAAAATTAGACAACCGTGAAAACTTATCTATATTCAAGGCTCCCAGGACTTTTCATAGACATTTATCCACATTACATCTGCATAATCACTTAAAATGGAACAATTTTTTACAGTTTCCAAGTAATTCGAGCGAAGAACATAAGTGAATTGTTAAAATGAATTTAGAATTGTCTGTAATTCCTTGTTTAGTTGACTAGTGACAAACTACTTTGGGAATGGGGACATCTCCCAATAAAGTAAAGAATACATAATGTAGGTTTATGGACAAGAATTGTAAGGGCTATGTAAAATGTAACTTTTTGTGGTGCCTTAATCTCCTTAGCCAAGTATCAGCCCAAAATTTAATTGTATTTAGATCAATATTATAAAGATCAAATATATTTTGAGAGACTAAATGAAAGGAAGATTGATGTATCATCATATACCTTGTCTGCTTATGATGTAGAGTTTTTCTTCTTGATATGTGGATTGAACCACCATTTTGTATTGGTAAAATCTCTTTTTGGGAATTGCTTTTTGCAATAGTAAATTGATAGAAAATGTCATCATGATTTCATTCATTCAGCTAAACCTAAAAAATATTTGCTCATAGCATTATTTGCAACTACCAATACCTGTGCATTCAGCAAGGTGATTCTACAGTGCATATATGCACCTAAAAGTGATTTCTCTTGTTTTGAAAAAATTCGGCATAAACACTACTTTTGAAAATGGGAATTTTTAGATTTATTAGTCTATGAGAGATAAAACAAATAACAAATATTTTTCATAAGCTTAAGAGCTCAGTTTATTCGGATACAATCTAGTATTTCATAAACAATTTGTTTCCAGGCACCTGGAAACCAAATTCCTCTGTTTATATTATGTGACTTGTAATACTTTATTTTAGCGAACTGGGTGCCTATAGCAAATCAGACTGTGACATTTATTAATAAGGAAGTTAATGAAGACTTAAGACGAAGAAATGTTCAACTTCATTTCTTGGTTGAAAGATTTCTTTTGCAGAACTCACTAATACCCTGACTAAAAATGTACATCCTAATTAAATAACTGTCACATACTGACAAATTCTGCAGGATAAATTGTTTTAGGAAGGAATTTGTATTCCAAATAGAGTTCATCAAAGTTTGTGTTAATACTTACAAAGTGAAAATCTGATAACTATTTGACAGAAATCATCATTAACCGAGTGAGACCTAAATATCAGCTTTCAAGCTTTTTAGACAAATATATTTGTTGACACATTTTGAAGATGAAGTTGCATCCCTGGGCTTATACCCTGATATTCATTATCATAATTACAACATACACACCACAAGACTTTCACCTTTTATGTGATTTAGTCTATTAAAGGAAGAATAATTACAAGGCAGTAATGGAATGGTATCATTCAGCAGTGCCTTGGTCACATTGCTCCGATTTTCGTTCTACTGCCCAGCCAACTTTCAAATGTCGCACAGACAACCAGAGAATTTTATCGTGGGAATAAAAGTTGCCAATGACTTCCTGATTTTTTCTCAACCAAACAAATGAAAACCTACTCAGCCATGTCCTGTATGATCATTGTATGATTATCTTATGACTCCTGGTGGATCTTGGGATTTTGTACAATTTTAGATTCTTAAAGGGACATTCCAGATCTCTCTCCTAATAGCTATAGCCATGTATGTCCCATGTTTAGAAAAACATGGAAAATGTTTTGATCTGATCAATATGGATCACTTAAAAATGTAGTGCTTAATTCCACTCTCTTTGCATATATCATTTGGTAAGCATATTCTTTTTCAATTTTGTCTAGGATTTAACCCTCCTGAAGGTCTCTTTTTTACTTGAAGTTGACAAGCCCTGTAAATATTTTTGCATAAGCCCTGTAAATATTTTTGCATAGCTTAAAGGGACAGACCTGGTTTGAGACACAATTATACACCTGTAGCTTAAAGGGACACACCTAGTTTGAGCCACAACCATAGCTTAAAGGGGTACACCTGGTTTGAGACACAACCATAGCTTGAAGTGGCATACCTGGTTTGATACACAACCATAGCTTAAAGGGGCACACCTGGTTGGAGACACAACCATAGGGAGGTTAAAGGGACATACCTGGTTTGAGATGTAACTATCACAGCTGTAACACCATACTGAGAGGTCTGCATAGCTTAGTACGACTCTATGTTCCGACTCCAAGCCATGTTTTACCATGTGTTCATTCACATAGCGACTGCAATGAACCTGCAATAAAATCAAATATCCATCTGGAAATATTCATCAAACTTTCAACATGTAAAATTAATAACTTCCATCGAAAGAGTGAAATTGCATTTTCTGCATTTTTATTTGAAAATTAACCTCACATCAACTTAAATCAAAATTCTAGCTCATTAGAATATCAAGAAGCAGTTGTAAATTAATGACCTTTTTACGTAGACCACCGTACAAAGATATTTTTTCTGAATGTCTAATAATAACAAAAGTGTGGAGTCTCTTTCTAAACTGACATCTATATATGATAAAATACTCAAAAAACAGTTACCGTGTACTGTATTATAAGCATAGCTGTTAATAGTATAACATAAAGGGATAAACAAATAACACATGATATCCCCATCCCCATTCAGGAGACACTTGATACATGACACATTTGTACATATTTCACATTGTAATCGTTTTAATCCAAATAGATTGCTGTACACCCTGATGTGGATAATGTGAAATCGACCACTTGAAAAAAGATCATTAGATTACTAATATACATGTAGTACCTGATAGCACTGTAAGCAGACCCAGTTCTCCCCTCTGTGTCCACACTCCAGACAAGCCTGATTCACATCAAGGCCACCAGGGGGCAGTGGTTCCACAAGGTCAAGGTGAGGGCACCAGGTTAAAGGTTGAACAGCAAACATCCCATCCGTCTGCAACTACAAGAGAATCACAGAACATAATTAAAAAAGTTTAAGTTGAAAATCCTTTTTGTTTTATTTTTGTTTCTCAATATTGTAAGCTGTTATTAATGACCAAGTACCCTAGCCAAGTCCATGCTAACCTTGAGTAAACAGTTTCCCATACATTATTATTAATAATTAATCATTATAAGAGACCATGAAATAACACATTAATAAATTAGATTCCTACCATTAGCTTAACTTACTCTAGCAAAAATAGGTAAAGTAAAAGTCAATACATATTTAATACAAATATACCCAAGGCAATTAAAATGATGCACTTCCATTAGTTTTGATTGATTCAGTGGTCCTTATGAATATATATTATAACTTTTAATTTTATATAAAATGCTAATGTATCATTGCTTGTACAGAAACAGCTGAAACTTATACATCTACATTATATTAAATAGACAAGATACAAGTAGAAACAATCGTGATTTACATCACTGCAAGTAAAATTACATACATAAATGTGGTTTAAAAAAATTGTTATCAACTTTGAAAAAACTGAAAATGTAACTCCTATGCTGGGGAGATTCCCCATACACCCCATGCTATAAAATCCAAAAAGAGAAATATATTTTCTTTTATTGGAGAGATAATATTTTGTTTTACTGGACATATTTTCATTTGTATAACTATCAGGTACATACATGTAAGGATAATATGAAAATTAACCCACTAAAACTGATGAGTACTCTGCTTTCTAATATATCTGCCATGTTATCTGTTATGATTAGTAACATGGTAGTAAAGCTGGTAACTATCTACTTGCATCTGGGTCATTATTCCGATCAAACATGATAATTATGAATACATAATCATTTTAGTTTATATTTGAGAACAAGGTTTTCAATAATTTGAGGGTCTTTTTAGTTCATTTTCTGTGCATACTCAATAGGACTTACTCAAGATCAGCCAAAGTTTGAAAGTCAAATGCCATAAATATCCTAGATGCGAGTAGAAATAATCTTAAGTTACGTCATTAAGAATTCACAATAAAATTACATTTAGAAATGTGGTTTTGAAAAGAGTTTATCAAATTTAATTTTCTTTGAAAATGTGACTTCTAGGTCGGGGAGATTCCCCATAGACCCCATGTTGTAAAACCACAAAAAGTGAAATATCTTTTCTTGTGTAGGGCAGATAATCTTTTCTTTTACTGGACATATTTTAATTTGTATAACTATCAGATACATAAAGGTAATATGAAAAGTAAACCACTAAAACTGATGCATATTCAAGTTTAAGGGAATTTTGTAATACCCTGCCATGTTAATTCCCCCGAATCAGCCACCTGGTGGCGAAACTGGTAACTACCTACTCGCATCTGAGTAATTCAGTTTGTTAGTGACTAGAATAACCCAACCAATTTCTTCTACAGTCCATCTTCATGACAACAATTGTTTTATCTAAATTACATGTACCATACCTACTCAGGTTACTCAATACATGTATATTCAGCTGATTGTACTCATTTTCTCATTTGCTTTTCAATATCAAATGTTCAATTTTTTATTTTCACTGATCACTATACATTCCTTAACTATTCTGAGGATATGAGTGAGACATACATAATTATACATGGATCAGGTTTGTCATAAAATATAAAGAGAATTTTACATCCACTTAAGGAAAGAATCCTGGGATAATGAGATTACAGAATATTTTGTTAAACAGATTTCCACTGTACTTTACTGCACTTGCAACTTTGGAACAGACTGTTGACTGATCAAAGGTGATCAAACTAAGTTTGTTCCAAAAAGCCATTTGACTTTCTTAAATACTGACACAGCTTACAATGTGCCTTTTAAAAGCCGTATCATATGATATACCCAAATTATGTGATCTAATATTTGCTCACCACTTTGTACCCATAAACACACCCACATTATATGTTGGCCAGCTGTTTCGGAAAGCTATAAAAGGACCAGACTTGGACCAAGAATTCTACACACCTGGATTCAACGGTGACCGAAAATTAAGGTAAGTTAAAACTTTATAATTTTTAATTCAGTACCAGTTTCAAATTGGTGATTTATCATCAAACTTCTGATTTCAAAATAAAAATTTGGCAAGGGCATTAAAATAACATCTCTTTTCAATAGTTTTTTTGCTTTGAAGTCCCCATCTAAAGTTTAAACCACTTTGGCTTATATTGTAGTCTTACCCAATGTTATCAAAGTGTGATATGTGAAACTTTTTTTTTTAATTTCAAAAAGTGTTTTTTGATAGACTTTTTGTTCCAAAATTTGTGAATTTATTTAAAACTAACTTTTAGAGGTCACACATATCTTTTAATTATCAACAACTCATACCAATGCATAGCATTCATCCTCGCATGTTTTTTGCCGAAAAAATTAAGAAAATCGGTTCATAAATAAGCGAGAAATGAACTTATCAGTGCATGAAAATGCTTCCGAGAAAAATGCATTTAAAAATTCTAGTTCTCATAGAAACCAATGGTACAACGATATCTAAAACATAATATATTCTCCCTTTTAACCTGGTTAGACAATCAACATTGGTATATTATTGAAGTCTAGCATAATTAGAAAAGATTGACATCGAAAAAAAAATTTTCAATTTTTTTCAAAAAGTTTTTGCTACCTTAGTGACATCACTAATGGTGCAAAATATTTTTTATATGCTAAAACATTGAAGTGGCCCATTAAATATGGCATTTTATTATTGAAATAGTGTGTCCTTTGATCAATCTTTGCATTGGTGTTAAAAAGATAATCTTTTTCGAAATGCATTAAGAAATATTTGATGATTAAAAAATTTCAACTTTTTTTGAAAAATGGCGGGAAATTTGAATATTTGAGAAATGAAATGCTCACAACTTTTTTTTCAAAAAAAAATTTTCTTTCAAAAATCTCTAGAATAACTTTTTAAGTCATGACAAATAGTAAATGAATGATAAAAAAATATTTTCAAACTTTAGACGGGGACTTTAATAGAACATACCTAGCTGTAAAGTTTTGAAATATTTTGGTAAAGAAATACATGTAGTTAAGGAGTGCATGCAATAGAATGCAACAGAATGTTTTAAAACAAATCATTTTCAGACTACAATGATGACATACGCAGTTATAGCAGCATTGATGGTAGTGACAGTTGTGCAATGTCATTCTATCAAGAAAACCAACATCCAACCATGGAACATCATTTCAAAGGTGAATCAAAATTGTTACCATACTTCTACTTAAATTGGTGCTACTTATTTTGGTGCATTTGCTGTTTTGGACATATGGTGGCTACTTTATTTGCAATATTTTATGACTTACAATATTACAATGAACTTATGGTACTAATTTACATGGTACTAAATTACCAGGGAATTTGGGGCTACTTCATTTGGAGGCCTTTAACAATTTGGTAGATCCACCAAATTAAAATGGCTGCCAAATTAAGTTTAAGTGCTGAATTTATGTTACATTTTTGATAGACTTCAACATAAAACTTGAAAAAACTGATCATATAAAGTCAATTAATTTACTTTTAACATTCAAAAAGGTGTAAGTACTTGTCTAAATTAGGAACTTGAACTTGACTCACAAAACTAACAATGTTCAAATTTGTTCATTTAATTTACTTCTAAATGACGCTCTTCACTTAGGCATTGTAATGTATTTCTACGTAAGCCCATCATTAGTATTGTCATGTATTGTTTATAAAGCTCTTCACTAGCATTGAGATGTATTTTTACATAAGCCCATCACTAACATTGTCATGTATTTATAAGCGTGGAGCAGACGTAGACCAAGCTAAGATTCTCGAGTTTTTTGACTGTCAAGATTTGACCCCCGAGCCATACAACACACTAAGTGATGATATCATGGATGCTCTCGAGGAAGGAAATCGTGATGCTCTGTGCAATGAACATGCTGAAGGTAATACTGTCCTCTATGTGAGTGTAATTGAAAATTCAATATTTAAGTGTTTGAGTGGCAGCATAAATTAGATTGCTTAATATTGGAAATAATTTCTACTGTATCCAAGAAATAGATCCAATATAAAATCAAATATGGAAGTTTATATTACATGATACATTGTATGATTTGTGATGTTGAGAAAGCTTCATGTGATAAATACAACCTAAAAACTTTCAAACAACCTCAGAACAAAATGTCAGATTGTAAGATATAACAAATCTTACAAAATAAAAACACCACCTAAAATTTAATGCACATATTTTGTTGTTTCAGAAATAGCAAACGTTATCAGGGCTGAGGCAACGCAGAGGAATTGTGACCTTGTACATGTTGAGGCATTCATGGATGCTGCACACAAAATACATTGTCTGAATGTGAGCAAACTACATTAATACTAAGAAAGATATTAACATGGGATGTACAACGTGGTCAAAAAATGGAAACCCTGCCGCTAATTTCCTCATATCTTTATCATTTTAGGGAATTACCCCAAATATTTAGCGTATCTGTACACCATTCAATTTCCTACCAACCTGCTATATTTCATGAGCATCATACTGATAGTCACAATGTTACAGCACTTTAAACAACATACACCAGTGACCACTATTGCGCAGTAGGCAAACCTGCACATGTTGTCCAAGAAGTCAAAAATGTGGGGATTGCGCCAAAGGGAAATCAATCATGTCATTCAGGCCATACCTGCTGAGTCATTGACAACTTGTGAAGGTTTGTCTACAGCCTGATGATGGCCACACCTGCAGCATGCTGTTCAAAATGCTGTAATATTGCGACTATCAGTCTGATGATCATAAAATACGGTAGGCTGGTAGGAATTTAATGATGTACAAATCTGACAAATGTCAGGAGGTAATTTCCTAAAATGACAGAAGATATGAGGAAAATGAAGGGGGTGACCATTTTTTACTACCCTGTGCAAGCTAACATTGTGGTAAGATTAGCCCTGATCTATACTATTAATCTAGCTAGTATGGGTAAAAGGTCTTTGGGAAATCAGAATACAAATGATTTTTATATCAACAATTTAAAAACCTACAAGACTATGTATTCCTTTCTAAACTCTAAGTGCACCTCAATGCTGTTGATTTTTAGACCATCACAACCTACAATTGGGAGCTTGCTGACTGTGACAATACAGATGGAGAGTTCATCTGGCTGCCAGTGGAACTTGGTACAAACCCAGAAGAACATTGTGGCGACATGGAGAAATCTGCAGGTAGGTTTGTGTGTGTATGTCCGGAACCTTATAGAATCTTGGCACTTGTCTGTTCTTCATTTGGAAAAGTTAAAGGAGTGAAGAATGTTCCTACTATCTTGATTACAAGATTCTTTGGGCATAAGATGATAGCACTTTCAGGATAATTAAAGGTAATAAGCATTGTAATAAACAATTGATATATGGATGAATGAGTAACTAAGGTTAATTCTTTCAGCCATTGCATGTCATGTTTTCGCTGCTGCCAAGGAACGTGATTGTGACTTGCATAAGATCGGATATGGAATGGTCATGTTGAACTATGCTATCTGTGGAGCGGATGCTGCTATCCCACAAAGTATGTTAATAAATCCTCGACAATTATTCCTTCATGTCAAAAGAATATCTGCATTTTGATCAAATATATTTCTCTAGCGGCTTTTTTTTGTATGTCATCCCCAAGGACCAGATGCAAAACTGCAATCATTCAGCTCCAATAGAGATTAATAAAAATCAAAACAATGACACAAAGATAATCTAAAACCGTATGTCGTGTCTCATACTGTAAACATAATCTGAGTTCATAATGCATATGAATTATATTTAAGATCTTCATTTTTAGGTCTGCCATGTATGCCAGGTCCTGCCAGTTCTGGCAGCTCAGGATCTGATGATTAAATCTGAAACCTACACATCAGATTTGAAGATATCAACAGGCTTTAAATGTGTTTTGTTGTAAACTTTGGACATTAATGAAAGAATTATAATTTGAAAAGCATACATAAATGAATTTTGTTTGTATAAAATACATGGTACAAGGTGTGACTGAAAACTCTTCTAAAGGAGATACTAAGTTAATATGAGCTATATTAATGTAGGCTCATTCCTTGGGACAGTTTGTTGTAAGCATAAGTGCAAATGACAAGATACAAAACATGGTTACAGAACAGAGAAAGAAAAAGAAAAAGGGATTGTGTGACATCATGGATGAAGCCCTCTTACCATGGAAGTATCACATGATCAAATTTGAACAAAAAAATGAAAGAATGGAACAGTTCATTTCACAAAAAGACCATCTTCATTGGACTTTACTGGAATCCAACGGTCAGTGTAATGGCCTAGTCACATAGCCCGGCCGATGTCCGGCATCGGTAGAGCTCGGTGGATTTTTTTGGTGCCACCGAGCTCTCCTCATCGGAAGCAGAGCTCGGTGACGTGAACGGACTCCGTCCGGACATCTTCAGGCGACCGACCGAACACCGGCCGGTGACCGTACGGAGTCTGTCTCAAAATGGTAGTTTTTTTCTGCCGATGTGGCAGCAACTACCGGCCGGAGGTCGGCCGGACATCGGAAGGAATACGGCCGGTACCCGAGCAGGTAACAGGACACCGTGCGATCGCCGGCCGGGTTGTTAACGGGCTTTGAACAGTGACCGGCCGATGCTCTGTCCCACATCGGCCGGAGCTCGGTCGGAGCTCGGCCGCTGTCCGTTAAAAAACCTCGTCCTTTGGTTGTCTCAGATGCACGGGACACCGGCCGATACTCGGCCGTGCACCGGCCGACGTGTTTTCCGATGTGGTTACGATGGGGCTGCGATGACATGATGAGGGAGCTCGGTGAGAGCCCGGTGAAATTTAACTCCGAAGTTAAAATTTCATCGAGCTACCACCGATGCGGTTTTAAGCAACAAACGACACGGATATCCGGCCGGTGTCCGGCCGGTGTTCGGCCGAGTTCGGTAAAAATTGCATCGCTGGCTCATCGTAACCTCATCGGCCGGGCTATGTGACTAGGCCATAAACGGGGCTTAAGGGTAAACCAGTCATAAAGAAATTAAACCCCAATTATCCCAAATCACAATTCAATATGAAAAAAACAGTGTCTAATTGCCCCTTCCCACACCATACAAGTACCATTATCACAATCCAAGACCATAACACCAAAGGACATTTCATTTATACTGAAATCATTAGAATACATGTTGAAGAATAAATTAAGAATTGATAGCCACACTCAAAACATCAAGTAATAGTTGTAGATACTAATATACATACAAGATATGGCATTCAGTCTCAAATAATGTAATGTGGGATGGACAAAATCCAATCTCGAAGTCCAAAAGGATATCAAAGGGTCAACATCCATCTGCAAAGCTGTCATCATAATCCATAAAACACAATATTTCACAATAGTCATCATGAGAAAACTGTGGCTGGTTTCGATCCCTTTTTCTAAACCATTATTGCCATAGAAGGGATCCACCTAAAACTGTGCCAAGTGAAAAGATTGTGAGCTTGGTGCCAGTCTTTAAACAATACCAACATATCTAAGCATATCAAGTGACAAAACCTGAAACTTCAAAATTAATGACTTACTCGTAAATTGTATTTTTTAGCAGAGCCTATAAAGCGTTCCTTCAGCTTTTAGTACTGTATAACCTTGGCCTAGGAATTTCATCACTAAAATATTATGTCTTGATTTAACATCTAAACATTTTGAGCATGCCCTGCTTGCTATATTGGCTCTATATCTACACATGCAAATTACATCGAGCCCTGTATGAGCTCGTGTGAGCCTCGAGAATTACGGGCAAAAAGGAGCACAATCCTCGTACCGGCTCATACGGCTTGTTTTTGAAGCCCATACGAGCTTGAATGATGCTCATAATTGTTTCCAAGGCCCATACAAGCATGTACAAGGCTTGTAATTTCAAGGCCAGTACAAGGTCGTACAACGCCCTTAATATTTAATAACTTCTCAATATAAAATTTAGTTTATATTTCATTATCCTTTGTAAAATTTAAATTCGTTAGAATAGAAAAAGGTATGCTAAAAGAGGTGCACAATTTGTTTCCATTAGTATTCCTAGTATACATTTTGATGTAAAATTATAAAAAAGATTCGCATCATCAAATGTGAGATAATAGATAACAGCAACACCTTATAGCAAATCCCATCAAATGTGGGATAATAGATAATAGCAACACCAATGCATAACAATTCCCATCAAATGCGAGATAATAGATAATAGCAACACCAATGCATAACAATTCCCATCAAATGCGAGATAATAGATAATAGCAACACCAATGCATAACAATCCCCATCAAATGTGAGATAATAGATAACAGCAACACCAATGCATAGCAAATCCCATCAAATCTGAGATAATAGATAATAGCAACACCAATACATAGCAAATCCCATCAAATTTGGGATAATAGATAATAACAACACCAATGCATAACAATTCCCATCAAATGCGAGATAATAGATAATAGCAACACCAATGCATAACAATTCCCATCAAATGCGAGATAATAGATAATAGCAACACCAATGCATAACAATTCCCATCAAATGTGAGATAATTGATAACAGAAACACCAATGCATAGCAAATTCCATCAAATGTGAGATAATAGATAACAGCAACACCAATGCATAACAATTCCCATCAAATGTGAGATAATAGGTAACAGCAACACCAATGCATAGCAAATCCCATCAAATGTGAGATAATAGATAATAGCAACACCAATGCATAGCAGATTCCATCAAATGTGAGATAATAGATAACAGCAACACCAATGCATAGCAAATTCCATCAAATGTGAGATAATTATAGGATATCCTATGATTTTGAGGAATATCATTTTTATCTACGAGGTGATATTGATATCTGCACGAGAGAGCAAAGCGAACAAGTGCAATATCAATATCACCGAGTAGATTAAAATTATATTCTGAAAAAAATCATAGGATGTTCTTATTATCCTACACTTACAAGGAATGTACTAAATGTATAATATCATTGCAAAATGAATTTCATGCCAAATAGAGTCAATTTAGCGGGAAATTAACAAGCGGAGTATATCGTCACACTATCCTCCGCATATTGGGTTTTACGGAGTATATCGTCACGATATCCTCCGCCCAGAGTATATCATCACGATATCCTCCGGTAATTCATTTTGCCAATAGATATCAAATTTATTTTTTAATGTTATTATACATTTAGTACACTAAGTGTAGGATAATAGATAATAGCAACACCAATGCATAGCAAATCCCATCAAATATGAGATAATATATAACAACAACACCAATGCATAGCAAATCCCATCAAATATGAGATAATATATAACAACAACACCAATGCATAGCAAATCCCATCAAATGTGAGATAATAGATAACAGCAACACCAATGCATAGCAAATCCCATCAAATGTGAGATAATAGATAACAGCAACACCAATGCATAGCAAATCCCATCAAATGTGAGATAATAGATAACAGCAACACCAATGCATAGCAAATCCCATCAAATGTGAGATAATAGATAACAGCAACACCAATGCATAGCAAATCCCATCAAATGTGAGATAATAGATAACAGCAACACCAATGCATAGCAAATCCCATCAAAATGAGATAATAGATAACAGCAACACCAATGCATAGCAAATCCCATCAAATGTGAGATAATAGATAACAGCAACACCAATGCATAGCAAATCCCATCAAATGTGAGATAATAGATAACAGCAACACCAATGCATAGCGAATCCCATCAAATGTGAGATAATAGATAACAGCAACACCAATATATAGCGAATCCCATCAAATGTGAGATAATAGATAACAACAACACCAATGCATAGCGAATCCCATCAAATGTGAGATAATAGATAACAGCAACACCAATATATAGCGAATCCGATCAAATGTGAGATAATAGATAACAACAACACCAATGCATAGCGAATCCCATCAAATGTGAGATAATAGATAATAGCAACACCAATGTATAGCAAATCCCATCAAATGTGAGATAATAGATAACAGCAACACCAATGCATAGCAAATCCCATCAAATGTGAGATAATAGATATCAGCAACACAAATGCATAGCAAATCCCATCAAATGTGAGATAATAGATAACAGCAACACCAATGCATAGCAAATCCCATCAAATGTGAGATAATAGATAACAGCAACACCAATGCATAGCAAATCCCATCAAATGTGAGATAATAGATAACAGCAACACCAATGCATAGCAAATCCCATCAAATGTGAGATAATAGATAACAGCAACACCAATGCATAGCAAATCCCATCAAATGTGAGATAATAGATAACAGCAACACCAATGCATAGCGAATCCCATCAAATGTGAGATAATAGATAACAGCAACACCAATAATTAGCGAATCCCATCAAATGTGAGATAATAGATAACAACAACACCAATGCATAGCGAATCCCATCAAATGTAAGATAATAGATAACAGCTACACCAATGCATAGCAAATCCCATCAAATGTGAGATAATAGATAACAGCAACAACAATGCATAGCAAATCCAATCAAATGTGAGATAATAGATAACAGAAACTCCAATGCATAGCAAATCCCATCAAATGAGAGATAATAGATAACAGCAACACCAATGCATAGCAAATCTCATCAAATGTGAGATAATAGATAACAGCAACAACAATGCATAGCAAATCCCATCAAATGTGAGATAATAGATAACAGAAACTCCAATGCATAGCAAATCCCATCAAATGAGAGATAATAGATAACAGCAACACCAATGCATAGCAAATCCCATCAAATGTGAGATAATAGATAACAGAAACTCCAATACATAGCAAATCCCATCAAATGTGAGATAATAGATAACAGCAACACCAATGCATAGCAAATCCCATCAAATGGCCATGGCTGCTATTTTGAAATGGCTGCAAATTAGCCAAATTATCATTTTGTAATATGCTTGTATGTATTCATTACTTTTCCAGTTACTGTACATGTATATCAACAATGTAAAATAACACATATAAAAATGACCACCATTTTTCAAAATCGCTGCCCACTAGCCAAATTGTCATAGAAAGATATAAAATTAACAAAATCGCAATTTGTGACCGCAAATCATCATATGCTAGAGCCACATAAGAGCCTTTTACATGTTCATGCTTAATTTTTTCAAAGTTGTGCCAAAGATATTGAACAAATTAATAAAATGTCACATGGACAGTGTTAAGAGTGTAATACATGCTCTCTAACTTTGAGTCTTATTTCATTTCTTTTGTTACAATAATATTTCTTAAACCAATCTGTTTCATTTGAGTTGATTTTCAGAATACTACAAAACACCAATTTGAAATGATTGATACAAAAGAAAAGTTAAGATCAGTAAAACGTTGATTGTTCTTTCAAACTATGGAACTGACAGGTGCATGCATATAGGCTGTTGTCTTATTTAATTGAAGGTTCCTACAAAGATTTACAGTCTAATGGAATCAACTTATAAGTTACAATTCATATGATTCTACCTATTCATATATGTTTTGAAAAATTAATGTAAAACTAAAATTATGAGTATGAATGAGCATAATAAATGTGTTTGTTCAGCTTTGGAAGTTTGTATATATAGACATATGTATGTTAAATTACAAATTGTAGATGTTGTTTGCAGCTACTTAACTTTCAAATACACATAGATTAAGAAGGTAAGTAACAAAAAATATATGTTTCAGATTATCTGTTTCCAAATATTACTCAAGAAGATTATTATTTTTTGAAAATTGAATTTTGAATAAGGAGGTGATTAATAAAAGTGTTTAAGATTAATTGGTTTCCAAGATAGCATAAATGCATTGAAGTAATAATGTAATATGTAAAAATAGGACCCACGGTCTTGTGCTCACACAGTTTGGAACATTCAGAGGAATGTATATCCTGACTTCCAAACAAAAACATTGATTTGGATTTCAAGTCTCTAACTTTGAGAAACTTAGACAGCACAGTTGTGTGACCTAGTTTGATGACCTTTGACCTTGAAAATTTAACTTATTTAGAGCTCAGTAAGGTCTTTTGTGATTAAGCTGACCAAAATTTACATCCAAAAATCAATTTGAAAAATCAACTTTTTTGACCTTTCAAAGGTCATTGAAGGTCAAGTAAAGGTCAAATCCTAAAACTAATGTCAGATTTGAACTCCTGGTAACTTTTAGATGATTTTCAAAAAAAGATTTGGTCAAATTTTTCAAAAAAAAATTGGGTCAAATTGAAGCAAGTTGAAAAATAACTTATTTTTTCTGTTTTTTGACGTAGAATATCTCAAAAACGGTAAAAATTTGATGCTGACATATATTAAGCAATATGTAGGGAACGCTTAAATCTAGCTATGATGTAATTCATTGCAAGAAATGATCAAGTATTAGGCAAACTTTGAGAAACTTGTCAATCACAAAACCTGCCATTGACTTTATAAATGAGAAAGTTTCCTGAAAATGACTAAGTCCTACTTTTTGTTTTGTCAAATTTTATAGAGTAAACACCAAAAACTGTAATTCGAAGAGCTTTGAAATCTTCAGAGGACATAGGTTGCATATACAGCAACTACTACAAGTTATTTGAAAGTTCTACTTCAACAAAGTGTCTAGTATTTACAGAAAATTTGACTTTTTGACGTCAAAATCAGCAATTTCTCGGAAACCGGGCGAACTTGGGAAATGGCGATGATAGGTCAAATAGGCATTATGGATATGCATAAAATGACTGTGGATATGACTCAATCTGAATAGCAGTTTTAATTTGTGCAGCCAATGTTGACAGACGGACCAACGGACGGACGGACCAACGGACCAACGGACGGACGGATGCCTGGTCGATCCCATAGGCTCACTGTGTGAGCCAAAAACAAATATGTGCATGTAGATTAAGTAACAGTGAAATATAATATACATCTTGAGGTGAAGCAGTAAAAATTTCAATCACCTACAAAAGATGATTTTTTAAAAATAGCCATGACATGACATGATCATACAAGGCATTATTAACATGACAAAATGTCACCACCTTGTTGCTCGATCACAATATTATTAGTTCAATCTTAAGTCAGATTTGAATTTCTGAGAACTCTGTAGATGATTTTGAAAAAAATTGGTCAATTTGAAGCAATTTGAAAAAGACCTTTTTTGACACTGAGAAGGTCATTGAAGGTGAAATCTCAAATTTAAAGTCAGATTTGAACTTCTGATAACTTGTAGATGATTTTGAAAAAATGGTCAATTTGAAACAAGTCCAAGAGCTTTTTGACCTTGAGAAGGTCACTGAAGGACAAATCTTTTTTGACCATGTAAATGTCATTGAAGGTCAAATCTATATTCGGATTTGAACTTTTGAGAACTTGCAGATGATTTTGAAAAACAAATTGATCACTTTGAAGCAAATTAAAAAAGACCTTTTTGACCCTTTTTAACCTTTTTTGACCTTGAAAAGGCCACTGAAGGTCAAATCTAAAATGTGATCGCCAACCACCAACCGCCAATTGATGCCACAAAAAACGGAGACCATAACAACTTGTCACCACTTTTTGGTGGTGACATAAAAACAAATATGTGCATGGAGATTAAGTAACAGTGAAATAAAATATATGTTTAATATCAATGAGATTACACATGTGCATTGTTCTTAGAAAACACCTTAAAAATCTGATATTTCAAACAAAAAGAATCACCTACAGAACATGATTTTTTAAAAAATAGCTATAACAAGATCATATAGCAGATAGAGAAATTCATTTTGTGAATGCATAAAATTAACAATTAAAATAATTTTACCAATTATGAATAAATTTTCGCAATGATATTTGAACTATTGTCCGGAAGGGTAAAATCCCAAGATGGTAATAGAACTATTGTCTAGATGAATAAACTCTCTTAATGATATTTTACCTGAATCGAAAAACTCTCTGAGTGGTATTTGAACCATTGTCTGAATGAGCAGACAGAATAAGATCATAATGATCAATGACTGTTTAATGATAACATGTCTTTTTTATTTTTTATTATTTTTTAGTTTGACAATCCAGCAAAAGTATGCAGTTACTATTAGTGATATGCCTGCTGGCGACAAGTGTCCTCACAGCCCCTATTTGGGAATACAGCAGTTCTGAATATTCATCCTCTGGGAGCAGTTCTGAATATTCATCCTCCAGCAATAGTTCTGAATATTCATCCTCTGGCACGAGTTCTGAATTTTCATCCTCTGGCAGCAGTTCTGAATATTCATCCTCTGGGAGCAGTTCTGAATATTCATCCTCTGGCAGCAGTTCTGAATATTCACCCTCAAGCAGCATTTCTGAATACGGGCCTTACAGCAGCAGTTTTGAATATTCATCCTCCAGCAGCATTTCTGAATATTCATCCCCAGGCAGCAGTTCTGAATATTCATCCTCTGGTAGCATTTCTGAATATTCATCCTCTGGGAGCAGTTCTGAATATTCATCCTCCGGCAGCAGTTCTGAATATTCATCCTCAAGCAGCAGTTCTGAATATTCATCCTCTGGCAGCAGTTCTGAATATTCATCCTCAAGCAGCATTTCTGAATCTTCATCCTCAGGCAGCATTTCTGAATACGGGCCTTACAGCAGCAGTTTTGAATATTCATCCTCAAGCAGCATTTCTGAATATTCATCCCCAGGCAGCAGTTCTGAATATTCATCCTCTGGTAGCATTTCTGAATATTCATCCTCTGGGAGCAGTTCTGAATATTCATCCTCCGGCAGCAGTTCTGAATATTCATCCTCAAGCAGCAGTTCTGAATATTCATCCTCTGGCAGCAGTTCTGAATATTCATCCTCAAGCAGCATTTCTGAATCTTCATCCTCAGGCAGCATTTCTGAATACGGGCCTTACAGCAGCAGTTTTGAATATTCATCCTCAAGCAGCATTTCTGAATATTCATCCCCAGGCAGCAGTTCTGAATATTCATCCTCTGGTAGCATTTCTGAATATTCATCCTCTGGGAGCAGTTCTGAATATTCATCCTCCGGCAGCAGTTCTGAATATTCATCCTCAAGCAGCAGTTCTGAATATTCATCCTCTGGCAGCAGTTCTGAATATTCATCCTCAAGCAGCACTGAATCTTCATCCTCAGGCAGCATTTCTGAATACGGGCCTTACAGCAGCAGTTTTGAATATTCATCCTCCAGCAGCATTTCTGAATATTCATCCCCAGGCAGCAGTTCTGAATATTCATCCTCTGGCAGCAGTTCTGAATATTCATCCTCCGGCAGCATTTCTAAATATTCATCCTCTGGCAGCAGTTCTGAATATTCATCCTCAAGCAGCAGTTCTGAATATTCATCCTCTGGTAGCATTTCTGAATATGGGCCTTACAGCAGCAGTTCTGAATATTCATCCTCCGGCAGCAGTTCTGAATATTCATCCTCTGGTAGCATTTCTGAATATTCATCCCCAGGCAGCAGTTCTGAATATTCATCCTCCGGCAGCATTTCTGAATATTCATCCTCTGGCAGCAGTTCTGAATATTCATCCTCAAGCAGCAGTTCTGAATATTCTTCCTCTGGTAGCATTTCTGAATATGGGCCTTACAGCAGCAGTTCTGAATATTCATCCTCCGGCAGCATTTCTGAATATTCATCCCCAGGCAGCAGTTCTGAATATTCATCCTCTGGTAGCATTTCTGAATATTCATCCCCAGGCAGCAGTTCTGAATATTCATCCTCCGGCAGCATTTCTGAATATTCATCCTCTGGCAGCAGTTCTGAATATTCATTCTACGGCAGCAGTTCTAAATACGCGCCTTACAGCAGCAGTTTTGAATATTCATACTCCAGCAGCATTTCTGAATATTCATCCCCGGGCAGCAGTTCTGAATATTCATCCTCTGGCAGCAGTTCTGAATATTCATCCTCTGGCACCAGTTCTGAATATTCATCCTCTGGCAGCAGTTCTGAATATTCACCCTCCAGCACCAGTTCTGAATATTCATCCTCTGGCAGCAGTTCTGAATATTCATCTTCAAGCAGCATTTCTGAATATTCATTCTCGGAAAGCAGTTCTGAATACTCATCCTCTGGCAGCAGTTCTGAATATTCATCCTCTGGCAGCATTTCTGAATATTCATCCTCGGGCAGCAGTTCTGAATATTCATCCTCAGGCAGCAGTTCTGAATATTCATCCTCAGAAAGCAGTTCTGAATACTCATCCTCGGAAAGCAGTTCTGAATACTCATCCTCTGGCAGCAGTTCTGAATATTTATCCTCAGAAAGCAGTTCTGAATACTCATCCTCAGAAAGCAGTTCTGAATATTCATCCTCTGGCAGCAGTTCTGAATATTCATCACCCAGCAGCATTTCTGAATATTCATCCTCCAGCAGAAGTTCTGAATATTCATCCTCTGGCAGCAGTTCTGAATATTCATCCTCAAGCAGCATTTCTGAATATTCATCCTCAAGCAGCATTTCTGAATATTCATCCTCCAGCAGAAGTTCTGAATATTCATCCTCTGGCAGCATTTCTGAATATTCATCCTCTGGCAGCATTTCTGGATACTCATCCTCAGGCAGCAGTTCTGAATATTCATTCTCTGGCAGCAGTTCTGAATATGGGCCTAACAACATTGCTGAATATTTATCCTCCAGGCACCAGTTCTGAATATTCATCCTCCAGCAGCAGTTCTGAATATTCATCCTCTGGAAACAGTTCTGAATATTCATCCCCAGGCAGCAGTTCTGAATATTCATCCTCTGGCAGCAGTTCTGAATATTCATCCTCCGGCACCAGTTCTGAATATTCATCCTCCGGCAGCATTTCTGAATATTCATCCTCTGAAGCAGCAGTTCTGAATATTCATCCTCCGGCACCAGTTCTGAATATTCATCCTCCGGCAGCATTTCTGAATATTCATCCTCTGAAGCAGCAGTTCTGAATTTCATTCTCCAGCAGCAGTTCTGAATTTCATTCAACAGCAGCAGTTCTGAATATTCATCCTCTACCAGTAGTTCATCATTCTGAATCTTTGAACTCTTTTGGTAAACTCTGGTAGCAGTTCTTGATACTATATGCTAAATATGAACTTTTATCTCTATGATTGAATGTAGCCAAGCAAATTCTGTGCAAAGTACTAAATAAATTTTAGTTGTTTTCACAAAAAGCTAGAACCTATTATCAGCAATTATCAAATATTCTAATATGATATTTGACCTCACAATGGCTAGAACAATTGATTTTCTGGTCTATATTGGAGTATGTATGACAGCTAAAATTCATAAATGCAAACAGTTGTGTTTCTTGTCTGTTTATCATATTAGAATCGTAACAAAGACCTCGATTTTATGATCTATGTCAAATATTTGACCTCAAATTCCATTTTGGCCATTCAACTCAATCGCTACATGATTTTGGTATTTTAACAATGAACAGAATAAAATTTTTGGTCATTTTGCACCATAAATCATAAAATCTCAGTTTTATATTCTAATTATGTTCCTTATTTGGCTCTTAGCTAGCTGCACAATGATATCAACAACAAGTGAGAGATAAGCAGACTATAATAGCATGAGTGAATTAAAAAATTTAAACATAGCCTCACATAGTAGTTTGAAGACATTTCTCAATTCAAGTACTTACTGTGACTAGATTAATTGCAGTTGCATCGCTTCCCCCACAAGCTCCTTCCTCAACCCCACAAGCCAAGCTCTCACCCTCAGGCGGTATATCCCCACCCCTAGTATCACAGACTGCAACTTGAGGTGCAACTAAAAACAATAAGTAGGCTATAGTTGAAACAAATATGATGAGTGTTCATGCAATATACAGAAACGAGGCATTAACATGCAAAATGTCACCTATGCTATTTGTAGATGTCAAACACAAAACACCAACTGCCAACAAAAAATTATAACAAAATGTTGTTTCATTGTGCAGAAAGTATGACTGGAATTTAAGAGGAGTTCAAATTCAAAAAATCTTCCGTTAAATTTACCCAACATGCTCAAAAGAAGCATCCATAAGAATTCCAAATCAACCCTAAAACTATTTGTCTGGAAATGCATGAACAAGATCTTGGAATGACCACCAATCCACCCAGTAAACTGATCAAATTCTAATAGCACCCAAGGGTGTGACAAAACAGAACATAATAGGATCTCAAACACTAAAACACAGAATACTATACATTGTTCCTGGGTTTCACTTTTTAAAGACAGAATGACATTTGAATTTACCTGACATGTCCTGTAATGCAGTTGCTAATGTGTCAAGATCTCCATCATTCTGTGCGACATCATCTTTATGTGTAACATCATCTTTATGTGTAACATCATCTTTATGTGTAACATCGTCTTTGTGTGGATCATCATCTTGTTTGTGATTGTACAGAGGCACTCTATATTGTAAGCTCTGCCAGTGAGCTTTGTGTGTGTCCAACACATTATTAATGGACTTCACGGCACTGGAATATAACAACATATCAAGAAGAAATAATATCAGAGCCTTGAATAGCAAGCTTGTTAGGTGATATAGTAAAGCGTGACCTGGTTACCATTACAACTTCTTTGGTTGTTGCCCTGAAAAAAGAAAAAATATGCCAATACACAAACATTTTTGAATTTTTGGTAGAACTGTAAGCAATAAGTGAAAGTTAAGAATCTGCTGAGGACATTAATCTCATAATGAAGCACAACCTTAGACTCCCTCAATACCTTAAAGGACTTAATGTCAGTTTTCACCTGTTTCTCTTTGACACAAACAAAACCAATTTTAAATATAATTTCTCTCATAAGAACATCATTATAGCATGCTATATCAACCGAACCGAACAAAATAGGAAGTTTTGTTTAGCAAAAATTCTCGGATGGTGAATATGATTTTCGTGAACGGGACTAGGCAGTACAATATGATTTTTTTTCAATATCAAAAATACTCCCTGGTGTTATTCACCAGGAAGTAGTAGTACCATGGGATAATAAAGACAACTTACTGTGGAGCTATATCATATTCTTCTTCAAGCGGTGGGCATGGGTCACCTAGTAGCATAGATGTACACATTGCCATAGACTCTGATATTGAGGACAAGTTATAGCCACCCTAAAATGAATAATATATACAATATGTATTTTAGTCATGTTTATACCTAAATAGGGTTGCATTAATTATTGAAGTATTTCTGAGTAAGCAGCACATTCGATTTTCTAAAATACCTTTGACATATATCCTTTTTCACAGAGTAAAACCTGTGTGTATGGAACAACCTTAATACTGGCCAAAACAGTCAATTCAAGATGTTCCTTACAGAGAGGGCTCTTTAGCATGTAGGTCAAATGGGGCTTGATTTTTTAGAAACGTGTTCTAGTAACAAGGATTTTACAGTTTCTGCATTACCTTATTTTTAATTTCAAAATAAAGAGAGAGGCAGGGCTCTCTTTGTGAAACTAAAATGATATTGTTTCAAATATATTGTACACATAAATGCAGGAGTATTGGCCAAAGAGTCTATGCAATATAATGTGGGTTACATATATGGACATCTAGAGGGGGCTTTACATATTCAGAACCTTCTACAACAGACACATTATGAAGTCCCGCCAAAAGTGTTGGAATGTCAGGTGAGTATGTTTAGAGTATTGTTTACATTCATGACTAGTCTCAAGGCCAGAAATTGAGTTTTCACTTTTAATAAAAAAGGGGGGTACAGGGGCCAACCAGGATGGTTCCTTTCAATTTTAAAATGAGTTGTAAACCGTAGATCTATTTTTACATGTTAAGGTTTTAAATTATATTCTATTCAAATTTTATCACTGTTAAATTATATATCTGCTTTATATGGGCTTATTAGCCTTTTGCAGACTATTGACATAGACACAGACAATAGTTTGTCTTAGTATCTGTTAATTAGCTTTTTTATAAATATTTCCCATAAATGCATAAAATTGAATTAAGAGAAAAACATTACCTCCAATCCAAGAATAAGTCTCCCATTGGCTAGTCCCATTAACATCCGGGTCATTTGTGCGTATCCCTCAGGAGTAACATCGCAGCCTCCCTAATTTGAACAACATTAATGATTAATATGAGACTGTCTACAAATGGTTACAAATATGTGACACTTGTTACAGATGCAAATGCCATCAGTGGCTCTATTAGACTTTTTGGCTGTGACATGCACATTCCAAGAATGCATAATCTTCAATAGATTATTTGACGTGAACAATTACTGTAACATTGCTGTGAATTAAGATATTTGGACCCCTGACAAGGCTATTATAGCAATCCGTATACTTTGAAACTCATATGGGAAATGGGCTAAATCATTTCTTAAATAATGCAGCAGCATTCTCCCCGTATAGGTTTTACTGCACATGATGTTTTGGGATAACATGTAGAAACTGATCACACATCCTTTATCAACTCTTGACTCACCAATAGATCTCCCCTGGCAGCATCAAACCCTGCAGAGACAAGAACAAGGTCTGGGCCATACTGTAAATACAAATAGTTAAACGATTAATAACTAAATCTCTTTGGTGGAGAAGAACTTTTTGCATGCATATCAGAGATCTTCATGCATCCATATAAAAGGCTCTGGGGTTTCCATATGAGAGGGCGGCCTTTGAGTTTCCTCTGAGTTTCCAAGAAATAGGCATTCACATTTCTAATCTGAGATCTTCATGCATCCATATAAAAGGCTCTGGGGTTTCCATATGAGAGGGCGGCCTTTGAGTTTCCTCTGAGTTTCCAAGAAATAGGCATTCACATTTCTAATCTGAGATCTTAATATATTTATTTCGCGGGATTCTTGCTCCTTTGATATTAGAGCCCTCATGCATCAATATCACTGGTCTTCAATCATGCATAAATATTATAGGCCTCTATGCCTCAATATCATAGGCCCTCATGCATCAATATTACTGGTCTTCATGAACCACATATACTAGTTTTCTGCATGAAAAACATTCTGCAAAAAATTCTATGAGAAAATGGGAAATTCTGTTAAGGGGAATCGAATTTTCAACAAGGCAATAACATGGCAAAATGTCACCACCTAGTTGCTCACAATATTATTAGTTCAATCTTAAGTCAGTTTTGAATTTCTGAGAACCTTGCAATGGTAGGAATTTGTAAATACATGTAATTCTGGTAATTCTGCATGATTTTCATGAAAATCAGGGAATCTGCAAAATATGGAAGTTTTGATGAAATTACGGAAAACTAGTATTTATGATGACTATATCAAAGACTAAATTCATGCATCCATTATTAAGGCCTATTCTGATATGATATGTAACATCACAAAAGCTAGAACAATTGATTTAGTGGTCTATATTGGAGTATGTATGACTATTATAATTCATAAATGCAAAGAGTTGTATTCCATGTCTGTTAATCATATTAGAATCGTAACAAAGACCTCGATTTTATGATTTTCGGTCCTACATTACGCCTTAAATGATAAAATTTCAGTCTTTATTCCTTAATTATAGGCCAAAATTAGCATAACTGGCATTCTTGCATTTAACATTACTTATCATGGGCCTTGTGCAATTATTGGAGCAAACTCTGTGTGTACATTTATATTTCTAGGCATTCATCCATCAACATTTCAGACCTTTTAATTTCAGGATCAACTGAACCAAGCTCAGTGTCACTTAACGCAGGTAACTTTTTTCTCATCACATTAACAAATGTTTTAAATTGATGTTTTATGGTTCAAAGAACCACATCCTTATATAAATCATCATTTGCCTTGTAATTAAATAAAATTAGAATGTCTTGACATTCAAACATAAAACGTTGTGACATTCAGATTAATGCCATCATTAATGAAATCTTCAAAAGATATTCATTCATCACCTGGAGGATTAGAGTCCAATCTCTAAATAATTGTTTAAAATACTAATTTTGTTGTGAAGATCGGCTGCAAAGAATGTCAATGAATTGAGATGCAGAGTGTAGAATGCCAGTAGTATTCTTTTCAAAAATGATGCCAAAGTTTCCCATCTAATTCAAAGAAATAGAAAAATGGAAGATTATTGAAGATTTAAGATGCTGACTTATATAGACTGGAGGTTAATTCCAAAGATTTTAATATAATTAGCAAAAGCTCTTTTCAATGCAACCAAATCTACTTTAATGCTCTTCCTATGATTTAAATTTAGAGAAAGTTTCTTTAAGCTATTTGAGTGATGGAAATTGTATACTTAATTATAACATCTAATATCTGCTAAGAACACTTCTCTTTCTCATCGAGGCAAAGCCTAATTGGACAAAATATATCCCTGCTTTAATTAACCACCCTAGAATGACATACCCTCTGGAGTAGGTCTTTAGCCATCAATTTATTTTTGCTCTGATTTAAACCAATTATGATGACATACAGTGGTTTGAAGAAGTACATCATTACTTGTAATGCTTTATTAACAGACTTACCTCGTAAGCTATGGGCATGATGACCTGTTGAAATGTAGCAATGTACTCTCTGTCTCCAACCTTTCGCTGAAAATACAAAACAACAAAGATACAAAACAAAACCAAATGCTAAAGTAAACAACAACAACAACAACAAATATAAGACATTATCAATGATAAAATAACAACAAATATAAGACATGATCAATGCTAAAAATATCAATGTTTTTTTAGTTTGCGAAAGTATACAACAACAAAAAATATAGATATGATCAAAATATTAATGTCTTTGGTTCAGTAAAAAAAATCACCAAAACATCAAACCTTCTCCCCTATTTGTCTCCCAAGTTATTTTTTACCTTATTTCCATATGAAAACTAATGGTGCTATTTTGACTCCCTCAAAATGATGGTCAAATTATTAAAGCTATGTAAACTTTAATTTTGTTTACATGTATTTTGAGGGTCATGTTTGTAAAAGATATGATATTTCTGTTTCTAATACTGACTCACTACTAGTCATTCCTTCAGTATTAAAATCAAAACAAGGCATTAACATGCAAAATGACACCACCTGCCATTTGTTACAGATACTGGATCACCCTCCAAGCACCTGGAGAAAACACATAGAAATATCAAATAGAAATAACCAGGAAGTAGTATTGTCTCATGTTGGTGAAATCTACACCCTTATTGATGGATGCATATGACACCTCATTAGAAATTCCTTCTCAAATAGAGATGCTATGCTCATGAGGCATCGACCTGTTGAAGGACCAAATCTGACAACTAGTATTTGAGCAATCAGAAACTATATCCCTTCTGGAAAAAGGTTGCCAATTTGAATTTTGTAGCCATCTTGAAAATTCCTTCTCAACCAGAATCCTGTGCTACATTAATTCTTAATCAAGTCTGACAATCAAGTTATCAATGATTAAATTTCTTACGTATGAATGGTGGCCATATTGAATTGAGAAGATACATTGGAAGTTTCTTCTTGAGAAGAGACCATATTCTTATTATTAAGATATTAAACTTTAAAATTTTGATCAAATCTGATAACTGGAATCAGAGATATATAAATATGTCTCTGCTGGTATGAAAGTTATCTCCTAAGTCACCAACATGTAACATTTGAATTGAATCTATTAACCCACCCTATGCAGACAGAGCCTGTGGGAAATATTGGGTGCGGAGCAAATGAGCGGAGGGTGCGGAGCTAACGGTTATTTTTGAATTTAAATTTGGAATATTTCTGAAACTAAGCCGTTTTGGGACTTCAAATATACCAAGATATGTGTATTTGACACCAAATATCAATACAATTGTGAAAATAGTAGCGCAATTCATTCTATAGCGACGCAGTGAGCCTTAAACCTTTCCCAGACCTATATATTTTGAAATTATCCTTTTAATACTGAGTCCCCAGCATTCATAAAAAATGGTGTTCAAGGTGCACTATCTATACAAATTATTTTTGCATCTTGGAAGCCAGGCAGTATCTGTGTGATTTTATAAAAATTCGGAAATGTTCTTCAGATATGAGCCCCTCTAAATATTGGGTGCGGAGCAGCTCCATAAACGTAGCTCCGCACCCAATATTTAGAGGGGCTCATATCTGAAGAACATTTCCGAATTTTTATAAAATCACACAGATACTGCCTGGCTTCCAAGATGCAAAAATAATTTGCATGGGTAGTGTATCTTGAACACCATTTTTTATGAATGCTGGGGACGCAGTATTAAAAGGATAGTCTCAAAATATATAGGTCTGGGAAATGTTTAAGGCATACTGCGTCGCTATAAAATGAATTGCACTACTATTTTCACAATTTTATTGATATTTGGTGTCAAATACACATATCTTGGTATATTTGAAGTCCCAAAACGGCTTAGTTTCAGAAATATCCCAATTTTAAATTCAAAAATGACCGTTAGCTCCGCACCCTCCGCTCATTTGCGCCGCACCCAATATTTCCCACAGGCTCTGTCTGCATAGGGTGTAACCTGTAGTCAGAATATGGTGGGCATTTTGAATTAATTAGACTTATTGGAAATTCCTTCTCAAACAGAGGTCTTATAAAGTATCAGCCTATAAAATTTGAATCCGTTGTATTTGATCATGAATTATTGTCTGGAACAACAAACAAGGAATCAATGGATGGCCAGCTTCTCTTTATCCCGGATTTGTTTAGTGGGATATAATTTAAACCAATGCAAGAGAAAGGCAACTATTGCTACCATAAATAAGTCTTACCATTTATTAGAATTAAAACCTACTGCAATAATGTTACACTAATTTAGAATTACTGTTCTAGATCGAGACGTGTTCACTTGGACTTAAATACACTAAACAGTGCTGTTGTATTGTTATTATTTCTTCCACATTCTCGTTAACCCTCAACCAATCATCACTATCTTTGATGGAAGTCCTGTACAACCTCATAATGGCTGAGATAAGATGGATTTTGTTTACTTTTCTTTATTTTTCAGTACGAAATAGCTCCAGATGTTTATTTATATCACTTCATATGTTTGATTCCCCTAAATATTATTTTAAGAAAAAGCAATAAATTTAGCATTAGAATTTTTTTGAGAAACAATTTTTTGAAATGTTAAACATACACTATATACATATGCATATGTACCTAGCGAAGCATTTGTATTGATGTCAATGGGAAAGTAAGCGGACTATATTTAGCAGTTATGTCCCTATCATTGAATATATGCCTGAGGTCTGTCATCAATATAGCCCGAGCTTGCGAGGGCTATATTACGACAGACCGAAGGCATATATTCTATGATACGGACATAATTGTTGTATTACATACCTAAAGTACATTTACATAACATTTCATGAAGATAATAATGTAGAAATGCGCGAAAAAATACCAAAGTTTTACACGATTCCAGTCAAAATAACTTTGTCTGTATGTTATGACGTCATAAAATTGTCATGGTAATAAAGTTTGGCGGCTATACAGGAATATATAGCCGACCTTCCGCTCCATTGACTTCCATACAAATGCTTCGCTAGGTATGTAATATCCACAGATATTGCCTGATTACCCCAATATAGCCCTTCGTTCTTGCCCAAATATAGAGCCTCCCAAGGTCGGCCTATATTGGGAAGAACTCAGGCATATTTCACGACATAGTGACATAACCTCTAAAATGCATACAGAATATAGGGTGAGCCAAAAAAGGTAACCCAAACAAATCTTAAAAACTCAGTCCCCCAGTATGGGTTGAGCATGTTTTGTAAAATGGCCATAAAATTATGACCATTTGATATATAGTAGACCAATGAAACTTGGTTGAATGAAAGAACATTGAACAAGGTTCAATTGTGCCAAATATGACTTTAATTTAAACCCATACTGGATAACTGAATCATTAAGATTTGTTTGGATTACCTTTTTTAGGCTTACCCTGTACATCTCATAATTATCACATCTTGATAAAATAGGATAAATCTACAGTTAGTATAAGCCAAAGTGGTCTAAACTTTCCATTGATACTTCAAGACGGCCTTATCAAATCAAAGAATGTGATGACATCTTTTCAAAATTCTAAATCTTACAAAAACCTAGGAATGTGAACACTTCTAATTCAAATGTTTTAGCCATGTGGTCGCTGGGTTGGCCTAGTGGTTAAGGCATTGGTCTGAAAAGCAGGAAGTCTGGCTTCAAGCTGAAAAGTAGAGGTCTTGGGTTCAAACCCAGGTCACAGCACTTCTTGTGATTTGTCTTTGACCTATGACTGCTGACCTATACCGGCGATTACTAGAGTGCTGCTAACTCGATAAAAGGCTGGCGCTGGCTAGAATTGTCTATGGTTCTAGCCAGGATAAAGATACCAGTTCTTCAACTCGACAATGGGAAGAACTGTTCTACCTAAGTGACTAATATGACATCTAAAGTGTCAATAAAAGATATATATATAGCCAGTTGCAATAGGTAACAGTATTCAATTTAAGAATTATTAAAGGATCTAACATTCAATACATTGTATCTAAAAGTGCCTTTAGAGCTTTTATAACGATGACATAAGGTAGTACTACATGTCATTTGTTACAGATACACCTAACGATAAACACCGACAAACAAAAAAGTTGGAGACTATATTAAATATCACTTATGAAGGTAACACAAGAAGGTGGCCAGATTTGCTTGCATCCAATGAATATAGGATAAGAATGCCTCCTAATTGACTCTTTTCCATATAAATGGGAAAATAGATGGCGTCATGAGTATTGGTAGGGCTAAATAACATGGCAACTCAATAGCAAGAGTCACTTAATTTCTTGATTTAACAAGTAATTCTATTTGGATCAACTTAAAACATCATTGGAATGTAACTTTATGATATAATTGACATGTGGACTGTGATTTCACATTAAAATTGTGACCCTATAAGAGAAAATGAACTTTCAAAGGTTTGAAACATTGTGTCAATGGGGATTTAGCCCGACCATTGTTAGAAAATTTGAAAATATCTAGAATTTGAATAAAGGTAAATAACAGTGCAAAACAAAGTTGTTTTGATAGAAAATTACATACTGAATTCAAATATACCATCAAATAGAAGAAAATGTTAGTCTTTAGTGGTTAAAAATGCAGATCTCCTAAAATCTCATTAAAACGAGACTTTAACGAGATTTCAAAGCTATATGGAAAAGCCTCTATTCTATATGGTATGCGTAAATCTTGGCATTGTTAGAGTATTATGAATGTGAATATATTTTTACAACTCAGAACAATGTTAATTTAGAGAAAATACATTTTTATGGCAAAGAATGGGTCATTCCAATAGAATTGCCTGAAAACATATTCTTGGGTTGATTTAAAGGTGCAACAATTAGTGCAGAAGGGCCATTCAACGATCATGGACCAGTGTCAAAATGTATTTAAGTTTGGATATTATATCACAACTAACATCTATTTTTATTATCTACAAAGAAACCCTCTAGATAAACATTATTTTAGCTGATATTCCTATTGAAACATGGTGGATCTTAAAATTGAAAAAGTGGATTTCCCCTTTTTCAAGCTTTGAACTGAATTTACACTTCTTAATGCTGAAATT